ATTGAGAAGCAAAAATATGAGAGAGAACAAAGGCGTTCTGAGAGGCAAAGGGAGAGGGCTTCAGTTATAATTCAAGTAAGTGATAGCAGACATCTATATCTTCAGAAAAACTGGCGTGGTTATGTTTGCCGCCGGAGATTGCGCCAGGAATGTCGGTTGTACGTAACGCAATTCGTAAATGGCGCAAAAGACGCTGAAGATGGGCAGTTTACGCTTCAACCCGGTATTTTGCACTGGCGTCATTTATGTTCATAGCAATTATCCTTCCCCAAGTCATCCTACGCCTGAAGTATGCTTTTGACGCAAATTCAGACAGAATGGTAAGACTGTATGTTTTGTAAGCAAGGCCGCTAGACGTTTGAAGTTTTTTGTCGTTATCTACTTCACTCGCTAAACACCGAGGACAAGGAGGTTTGTGTCGGTCTCCATTCACCCTTGTAGTTGTCCTATCTGTCTTTAGTTTTACGTCGTGATTTTCTCATCCAGTGGATAGCAAACACCCGTTGGATCTTATCATCAGTTGTTAAATATTTCGAAATCATAAACGTAGGTTCACCGCCTATTTTATGCACAGCGCTTTAGCCGTCAAGCGGATCTGACTCGAACTTTATGAACATTCTTCTCTCCCTGACACTAGTCTTGACTAATTCTACTCAGTGGAAAGTGATTACAGGTGAGCTGACTAAACGTGAATGTCTGCAGAGGCCTCTGTCTCTTAACAGGGACTACAAACTAGTTTTGTCTTCTTCAATTTATCCTGCTGTCTCTCTATTCCTTTTTTTGACAATTCTTATTTTTGTGTCCACATGCCCAGATATGGTTCATATCTGATGAAAGAATCGTCTCTCATATTTTGCGCTCTATGGATATTTTTATCACACGCCATACTGACCTTTAGTATCAGGTAATATCTTACCACTGGATCCAAAACTCCTAAACCTAAACTAAACTATTCAATCCGATGAATTCTTGTTCCGCGCAATGCAAGTGGATTAATGCACATGGTGAAAATAGAGCTATGTGATTTTTCTGTTTGTACATGAAATGTTCGTCGTACCTTAGTGTAGCTATTCTTTGATTTTAGATGAAAAGCTCAGAAGTGGGATGACAAAACTTACAAAGTCGCTCGTCGTTCACTTGGTTTCCTGTGGATTATTTCCTGCCCTGCAAGTGAGAATCTGCCGCCGATGTCAACTCTATTCTTTTTAGTTAATGCTCAAAAAAGGACTGGCACTTCACATTCCGGTTTTAACACAAGTTTCACTTACTGGCATTTTTTCTTTGGCCATGCGGTAAGCATTTCTTTCTGTATATTACCATATCCTTACATCTGAATGCTATGACTTTCATCATAATTTGCTCTCTGAGCTGTTGCAGCAGTGATTCGTAACACTTGTTTCCGCCTGTTATTCGCCAATATGGATCTTTACTTCCATGTGAGAACAACATACTCGTTTTGTGCAACATGCAACGCATGTAGATTTAAGCCAATGTTGTTTTGGCGTTATTCCTAGCCAAAAATAAAAGATGAGATACGTGGACCTTTCATCTGATCGCCAGCTGACTGTAATCTACAGATTTCGAAGCACATGGACGCTTGTGTTTAGGAATAGACGCTGGCGTGTTTTAACTGCAGACTTGTCAGATTATTTGGTATATGACCGAGTACACGCTGTGTTAGCTGGATCATTAATTCTGACTGATTGAAAGCGGACTGGATGTCGTTATGCCCTAACGTGACACAAACTCAGTACGTTGTATAAAATCACTTGCTGCCATTGTTGCCTTCTGTACTCCTACGGATGATAGAGGTTGTGGGGCCTAGCATTTAACAGACTGCACGAAAAGCGGGACGGTCGCTTTGGAAGTATTGATTTACTTTGTCTTGTGTTTCACAAGTGGTTTTGCGTGGTCTCGTAACCCTTTCCGTTATCTTGATTTTCTACGTCATCTGACGGATTCCTGCCTACCTTCTGCTAGATCTAATTATTATCCACCTCGTAGGAATGTTGTGCTGTAAGTGTAGCTTATGTGACATGCCGAAGATGACCTGGACTTCAGAGCGGACTAAACTTTTATTAGTCTGTGACTGAGTAATCGAGCCGTCTCTTGAATAATAACGTGAGTCCCACCTGTTATATAGATGGTTTATTTTTCTTCAGAGTTGCGTGTACGTGATAGGTGCATTCCCTTACAAGTTGCATAATTGCCGCTAAAAAAAGCTTTTTTCATGTCGTTTGCGTTCTTTAACTAACAGCCTTTCTTACAGTCGAACAGGCTGCAGGACTTTACATTATTTTCTCTCACCAGAAGACGAAAATACTAAGTCCTCTGGGTTCCATAGGTCCCATAGAACATGAGATTATCTAAACGGTAGGAGCAGATCGCGGGTTCGGAGTGATTTGCTGGCCTAAAGGGCTTCATCAGTCGCAAATTGTGGCAGCGTCATCAGTTTTGTCGTGTCCTAACTTGGGAGTAGTGCCTGCTGCCCGACAAAGTCTCTTTTTAAGTTCTTTTTGATCTATCGGAGCCAATCTTGGAGTTGCTGATAGGTTTCAATCTCTGTCCTTGGGACCTTCCTGCGTATTTCGCAATCCGGTCCGTCGTGACTCGGCTACGCGTTGCTGCTAAGTGCTATTATGAGATTTTTTCTCCTTCTAGCCCATTGCTCGTGACCGACTTCGCAGCGCGGAGTTTAAGTTTATTCGTCCTGCATATCTTGTCGGTACCAGGATTTGTGCTTCACATTAACTCCTTGACACAAGAGGTCAGTTTTCCCGTTTTCGTATCCCTCCCCCAAATCCATAACACTTGCTACGAGCAACCTAGGAGTCTGACTTAGAGAAGGCTGCTTTCTTCCAAGCTTTATTTCGAAATGACGTTGCAAGATCTTCTTTTTCTTCACCGGTTATCTCTTTGTTTGAAATTTCTCAGAATAATTACTGTTCAATAATATTGCGTTTGGACATAGAAATATGTGCTCCCGTAACACAGCTGCCCTTACGCTAAACCTGGATAGAGGTAACTATTCCTGTGTCCTGACTTTAACCGTAACACTAGCCCCAACCCTAATTCCAATCCCTCTGGAATTTATCGCTAGGCCACTTGTAATACAGGGGGATGCTTATCCCCGTACCCGTAGGTTTATTTCAGACGAGTATAGGTGTTTTGCCCTTTTCCTCGACGACTCTTCGTTTCTATACTGTGGAGAAGTTCCTTGGACACCAAAAAATTTGCGTAATGGTCCATCGCCAAATTCAACTTTTCGAAGGCCACCAATATAAGCCCCTCTTTGTGTTTCTAAGTAGGCTCTGAGCCTTTAAAAGCATTTAACTGCTGACGCGAGGAGGAAGATCTTTCCCGACTAAATTCCGCTCGTACCGACCCTATTCCTCTTTGGCGTTGCCTATGGTGGATGCGTAGCTGTCAACTGGTGTTTTTACCCTCAAGGATTTCCTCATATATGTCATGATGTGCGTCTGTGGTATGTGACCACAACAGGCCAATGATCTCATTTTCCTGACGTTATTTACATAATCCTGTTAGACTGTATTTTTAACCAAAGAACTTTAAGAGGGTGCACTCATGCGCCAACATCTTTCCCTCCAGCTTACCCCGACTGAGGTGAAAATGGCCACCCAAAAAAATCTCTAGACTGGCTATCTATGAAAACCGAGTCGTGGATAGATCAGAATGTGTGGTAACGATATGAAAGGACATTTACAGAGTAGCCTGTCTGAAGGGTACCGATTTTTTGAACCCACGCAGCGGCTCCTCTGGTTTACTTCTTATATCCAGTATTTGACGGTAAATATGAGTTCCACTTGCCCCAGATTTTGGCGAAGTAGAATCGCCCCATTGCTGGTCTAAGTCACACTCTAGTTTCTGCCATTTTTTCGGCCCCACATGACCGCAGCTGAGATTGGGTCTGTTGACCGCCTAGATTTACACATGCCACGAAGTTTTGTTTTCTCGCATTTTCGTTCTTGCACCTATTTACTACTGATTCGTTTTACCCATTCCACCCAGTCAGACTTCACCTTTTCAGATAAACGCATCTGTGAACGTTGATTACTAGGGTTTTTAACTGATCGGCGAAGCGGAATGGATTTAGCTCGGCAGTCGAAACCGTTATGGCGGCATCAGGGAGAGAGGTGGAAGTTGGGACACCTGAGAGAGCCATTGTATGCAGATCGATAATTTGTCAATCGTTGTCATATTAGAAGAACTATCCATTCCAGAGCATCATTTTTGTACCATTTAGGCCGACCTGCCTGTCATTCGCCGTAACAGCCATCATCGCTGATGAAGGAGAATTTCACATGCACTTAGCTATAAGTAACAAGAGTTGCAAAGGTTCGTCCCAACACGATTTCTAGTTGTGACTGATCTCCATTGACGGTCTGTGTTCGTTTAGACTAGAACTGAGACCAACCCCGGGGACTGACGGGGTACATACCTCTAAATTTCTGCTGATCACAATTTTTACTCGGCCGTTTATCAGACCATTGTCCGTCTTATCTGCCTAAACCGATGAAGATCTAACCCGGTTTCACTGGTATATCCGAAGAGGATAGCATTCGTTGTGGTTGGGATTCGTCGACTACACTCATTTGGTGTTATCCACCGATTTGTAAGACAAACCATATGTGGTTACTGGGTTCAAAAACACTCGTGGAGCTAAGCACAAAATAAGATTCATTATGAATGTTCAGCGGCGCGCAGGAATATGCTTAGAGTTAATGAGATAAAAATCTGCCACTTTATGTAAACAGATGTTTCCCATCCCGTTAGACCCCATGCACGCGCGTTTCAGAGTTTCGGAAAGATGCGTCCTTCGTATACCTCGCATGTTTTGGCGTCGTACGAGGACGTATATATATTGTGCTTTTAATCGCTTCTCGTTACTGAATGTAGTTTCTGAGTTCAGACTTCGCGTGACACAGTAAAAAGTGATATTCATTTCCGTACGATGGTCTTTTTCCAGTCGCCGTCAATCAAAAGCATCTGCTTTGGATGCATTTACTGACTTACGGTTGCTTGCGTTGTGGTATTTTAACGCTTCACTCGTCCTCCGCTAAAAAGCGTCATATATGGTGAGTGGTACATTGAAGAATTTCTTCGAACTTTAACCAATCGAGTTTCGGTACGGAAAGTAGAAAGCGTGTACTGTATATAAGTCAAAAAGTTGACAACGAACTTTTCGCCCGGATCATTTCGATGTCCAATGCATTGTCCCGTGCCTCAGGCGTACACTTTAACTGTCAGTTATCTGCCCTCTTTCACGGCACAACCATTCAAAGGCGCATGCTTTCCGACTTAATTAGATTAGCGCCGCTCCACCTTATCTACGAGATGATAATGTAGAAGGGAGACAACTGCTACGCCTTTTGCGCGCATTCAAACCGGGCCATACTAGGGGGACAGAAGGCCGCTTTCGCATATACAACACGATGTGGGTTCCGGAAGTCTTACCGGGTAAATTTAGATCTGTATCATTAAGGCTGTGGATGATCAGGACAGAACAATCCAGAACACAGAGGATGCTCGATCAACAGCAGCTTTCTTGGAAGATAACAAGGAAAACAAAATTGTAAATTGTACCCTCGGAACTATGTAAGGAGAATTGGAGGGTTAGCAGATGCATAGGGACAATGACCTTGCCGTCAATGACAGTTTCGTATTTATGCCATTGGCCACAACTTTTGGGCCACGACGTGCAATATACACACTAGGTATCGTATAACGTAATTTATATCAAAATTCTGAAGTGCGTTTTCGATTAAAAGGGACTACCTAGGTGGGGTGTCACACCGATTATCTTGCTTCGGAATCCCGAGATATTTCAGTCACGGTAGGATCTCGGCTTCCTAGCAGGCTTCTTCCAAACCACATTCAAAAACTACACGATAGGGAGCAACTACTTGACTAGTATGCGTTTTTCTATTGATTCTCGATACCCCTATAAATTCAAATATATTTTGCAAAGAACACACATAAAAATACTCATCCTCCTATTCTCTTCGTAGTAAATTAGGTCCTTTTCAAGTCTTGTTCTCGAAGAGGGGGTATTCAAGTAGTTCTTCGGTGTTATACCTGACAGGAGCAAGTTTGCAGCCCTAGGAGGAGGAGTCGCAAACGCCTTTTTGGTGTGCCTCTTCACGCCTCATCAAATGAGAGAAAACGAATCTGGCGCGCTAGCCTAACGTGGTTGAGCAGAAGGGAGAACGTTTTAGCGAATAAAGTGATGGACGAAAGAGGATAGTGATGCGGTAACTAGTGCAGAGTAAAAAGTTGAAAACGTCTGGACTTTGCTAAGGGCTTTCTGTAACGAATTCAAAGTCATTTAGGCTTTGCGTCGACGAAGATCTTATTCCGAATGGCAGCTTCGAAGTGTAGCTAAATGAAAACAATGATTTTGGCATTCGAGTGAATTATGGTATCACAGAACTTCCTATTGCCGTTCATCCGAACGTGAACGTGATCCGTCTCTAGTGGCGTCCTACTTTTGTCATGAAGAATGAAATGACATTGTTGTTAGTGTTGCTCCGCCTGCTTGGGGCATCGTGGCAGTTGTGTGTTTTGGAAGTTGAGCAAAGTTGAGGGCCATTTTCAATGAAAGTAATCTGTTGACTGATTTGGATGCAGTTTCGGAAGACAGTGACAAACTGAATAATCTGTTATATATGTCGTCTAAAATTCACATAATCTTCTTAAAATTTCCAAAACCTAAAGGTTTCACGGATTATTTGAACATAATAAGCAGTTCTTTTGACGTTGTTACAGTACTGACATAGCTATTTTGATTGCTCGTCAGTCTGCATGCATGTCGCATTTCTAAGCGTATGTTACTTATCACATATCACTATTATATCAGCGCTTCGCCCTTAACAGAGACCCAACCCCGTTAATAGAAATTACTGAGGATGTTGAAATTGCTGCTTGCGGGAGGCAGTCCGAGTATGTTTCACAGTCTTTCCAACCGGTCAGCACAGACGAAGCCGGGTTCTTTTTTCAGAATTCTTTCTCCAGTCGCGAACAATATCCTGTTTTTAAAAAATCTTCTCCGGAAAAAATTAGACATTGAAGGAATTGGAGTCTCCAGATCCAGACGAAATTCCCATCAGGCTTCCCGACGAACTTGTTGGTGAATAGTTCATTTGAAACTGCAACACGCTCTCTCGAGTGAAAGCTGGTGCATATTACTCTCCATGAAGGCGGTAACCGAGCCTCGGTGTAAAAGTACAGACCTGCAACCTTAATGTAAATCCTCTGCACATTCGTGAAGAAGACTGTAAAGAGCGAGTTTATGAACACCCTAGCGACCAATAGTCTACTGTCGAACTGTTCACACGGCCGTTGGATGGAATGGTTTTGCACGGCCATCTTGCTTCAACCTGTCGGGCTGGGCCCGAACCCTCGAGGATAGGCCAGCGGTCCACATCGCTTTCACTGGCTTCGAAAAGGCCTTTTATTCGGCGTCACGCCAGCGACTTCTGTACAAACTTGAAACAATTGGAATCGGTGTCGACTTCCTAAAATGGCTTAGCAGCTTCCCTGCGGGCAGCTTTCGGGTTTTCGTGCAGACCAGGAGAAATGCCGTCCTACGAAGACGGGCTTTCCCAGGCTCAGTACTGAACCCAGCGTACTCGGGAGATTACGTAAAATACTTGGACTGCGAGACGGCACTCTTTGCAGACGACGAGAAGGTTTGAAGTCTAGTCCACAGCACTTCCGATGAAGATAGTTTGCAGCTCGTCATAAGTCGGCTGGTGGGATGGTCACTTGGTTGGTCTTCGTAGTTCGGAGACGACTAATATATTTCACTCTTTCTAAGTAACCAAAACAGATCCGTAGATAAAAGAGCCAATTTTCTCTGCCGGACCCCCTTGCAACATGTAGAACCTCAAAGGTATCTCAGTATGCTGGCGTCAAAATCGCTAACGTCGTTTGTTCGTTGTCCAAAGGTGGCTAAATGCTCACCGTCCGTACCGCACGCCATCAAGAGGGCCTTTGTAGATTTCGATGGAAACAACCTCTTCCTGATCTTCGTAACAGTTTCGAGCCGGAATTTGGATCACGCCAGACAAGCCTTGTAGAACCTGAACAGCGCAAGGTGATAAGTGCCACGAAAGGCCATCAAGATGGCTAAGGGTTAAAGTTCGTTGTCGTATGCAGCCAACAAACCTAAAACTCTGCCTTCTGTATGATAGACAAATGCATTCTGCACTGTGAGTGGGTTGGATTATAGTCTGGTCTTTGACTGCTTCTTTGAATTTTCTGTCACAACCAACTTTTGGGTTTACCCATCAAAACTTGGCGTTCAGTGTGCAAGGTTGGATATGTGAAATCGTCCTCCAGTAGGATCATTAAACCATGGAATGTCCCCCGGGCAGATGTTGTCACCATTGGTGGAGGACTGCAGAGGGAACCTTTGTGAATTTATGTTCCAAAGTGAACAGGAATAATTAGAGCTTCATTTTCTCACTTAATTTTCATGTCCTATTTTCGTGAACCTCGTTATGCCAGCGCACCAGGTTTTTTGTATACAGCCCCGTGTTTTAGATTCCCGCTAGGATTTCCAAAGGCTCGCCCCCATATTCGTTTCAACAAACTGAAATGGGCTGATCTGAACTGTGTACTGTCTCCCCCCTCCCCCTTTCAATGTCACTTTTATTTGAAGTTTTACGGATGTTAACTATATTCTGCAAAGACGGCTGTGCATGATGCACTCGTCATAAGATGCATCTGATAGGTGTTGCTCTCTGCGTCTTTCTTCTATGGAGGTCTCATCTTGGCTCGGGGTGGCGCATACTGCATTTTGAGGTTGTTTATTTTGGTATAGTACGATGTAGCTATTACCCTCTACGTGGAACACCCTAGCATCCGTCGTCTTCAAAACCACATATGTACAAGAATTTATTGCCTTAGGAAGTTGCTTGTAGCACTAACATTTCCCGTAATCACTCTTCCTGGCTTGTATGAAGTGTTTCTACAGGAGGTGTTCCTTTTAGCCAACCCGTTTGTGCATGGTGACCGAAGCCACTCTAAACGTTGTGCATTTGTGTACTGCAGTCTCCTTATTTTCTGAACGCTCTATTGGGCAAGTTTTCTGCCCATACAATTTTCTCCCGGACTTCACCATTTTCCACATTTACACTCAGGGTGTCTTTCATGTGTTCTTTTTCATATTTCCATTTCTGTTCTTCAGGCCTACGACGTGTTCGTCCGAGAGCGCCTTTGCACCCACGTCATCACGTATCTATCCGAAAGCCCTCAGAACCAAAAACTTATTCTTGACGGCCTTGAGGGCTCCTATGCCCTCTGCCTTATAGGTAAATACTCCAGTTTGTGTTCTGCTAGTCATGTTGTTTATTTTGTGATTTTGAAGACCTTCGACCTTCTGTCCACAGCACCTACAGTCCCGGCCGCGTTCTTATAGACTATCCCTACCCCTCGTTCATAGGTCTAGTATTTAGTCCTGCGCAATTTAGCCACCTGGGAAGGGCGGACAGAAGCCACCTGAGAAGTAGATTGATTGTACGTCGGAATTCACACAACCGTACATGTTCATTGATGAGGAACAGCAAAACAGACGATCATCGTAAGTTGTCACAGTCAGTTGGCGGCCGGTTTTGTAAGTCTAAGGAACACTACGCGAGAATAGTTTTGAGGGCAGATTGATGCACCGCTCAGTTCAGATCTTTCAGGGGTTAAAAAGCCTCTGTTTTCGCTCGAGTCATCCGGCAAAATTTAAGCCAACAGTCATCCTCGGGACATAAAGTGCGCTTGGGTGTTCCTTGTTACCTCAACTCCGAGCTCATTTGAATTCTGACCATAATTGTCGTCCAATTTGGATGGCGCGGTCTCAGTGATACTAGGTGTATATATATCGACTTTTGAAAAGCGCGCGATTCCGCTGTCTACTCTCAATGACCTGTCTCCAGTCGCCCCTGGCACCCTTTTATTGTCAGTTTAGTATGCTATGCCTTCAAACCATTCCTTGTGTCTTTCGGGGACTAGCACGAGAATATCGTATTGTAAAGGTACATATGGATTTATTACGGGTTATTTGGCCGCAAAAAGACTGTTTTTGGATTCACCGCTGTAGGCCAAAATCCACCTGAAGAATCCTTTCAGTTGCGTTCGACTACGTGCCATACAATAGTTTCCGTTGCGGCGGAGAATCTGCTGACATCATGCGCCTTCCTTTATACCTTGGACCCCTTCCGCTGTTGCGAGTTAGCTTAATGTAGGCAGTTGTCCTGTTTCTCACTTCCTCCATAATCTTGTGTTTAGGAAGACTGCATGAAGCACATTACGGAGTTTCTGTAGCACACACCTACGAGCTACATCACGAGCATCTACGACTTTAAAGACGCCAGTCGTGTGTGTTCCACTGACTGAAGGCAAACTTTGTTCTGACTTGCAGATCAGCTTATGTCAGTAGGTCCGAAATGTGCCCTCTACTGGGTAGAAGCGGCCTGTACTGCACTTCTTCGAATGCTACAGTAGGTGGGCTAACTCATGAAATCTCAATCGAAACTACGAAATGCGTTTTCGTTTCGAAAAGAATAATTAAGTATGGTTGTAAAACTAATTATCATGCAACAAAATTTTATATAATTCAGTTACCACAGGACGCCGACTTTCGAACGAACTTCTTTCCGGCTGCATGCAAAAACTGTACTCTGTGAGAAATGACTACTTACGTAGCATGTATCTTTCACATTGATTTTGGATGTCCTTAAAAATTTAGTTATATATCATGGAAAACATGCGTAAAATATTCATTATTCTGCTTGTTCGGTAGAAAATTACGTCCATTGCAATTTTTATACTTGAACGAAGGGTATAATTTGGTTTTCAAAAACTTTTCCAATTCCCGAAAATTTTTGAGCCCGACCTGCCGTTACACTTCCATTCAAACTACATTTAAAACTGCAAACTACAAAGCTGTATATTTTCCGCGTACGAAAAACCGTAAATTTCCCTACGGTATTAAAAGGAGACCATATGGAATTCATAGAATTTAGCAGTGGATTTGAGCCATATTGTTAACTTTACAAGCCACATTGGTAAATCCAAAGACATGACGCCTTGTGAACGGATATTTCACGGTATTTAAAGATCTCACAATTAGAAAATTTTTTAAAATCAAATTATACCATTCGTTCAAGTATAAAATTTGCAAGGGACGTAATTTTCTGCCGAACGAGCAGAATAATGAATATTTTTATGCATGTTTTCCAGGATACGTAACTGAATTTTTAAGGGCATCAAACATCAATGAGAAAGATGCATGCTGCTGAAGTAGTCATTTTTACAGTGTATTATTTTTGCATTCAACCTGAAAGAAGTTCGTTCGAAAGCCGGCATCCTGTGGTAATTGAATTATTATAGGATTGTGTTGCACGATGATTGGTTTTACAACCATACTTATTTATTCTTTTCGAACCGAAAACGCATTTCGGAATTTCGGTTGACATTTCATGAGTTAGCCCACCTACTGTATCTGGCTTGACCTCTTTGTGTCGTGGTCGGCAACGCACATTGCCTTTTCGCATTATTTTGTGTGAATAACCTTGCCGTTGTTTAGTGCCCGCCGTTCCTATCGTCAATCCCCGTTTTACTTCACACTTTCAGCCAACCTCATCCACTTGAGTCTTCTAGAGGTGGAAGTTCTTGTCGAACATTGCGAAGAGTTCTGCGTAAGCCTCCATCCATTTTCATCAATTTCGCCTGCATTGCCTTGTTGAGACAGTTGTTACACCCATCCCGACACATTTTTCCTACTCAGTCAAGGCATTGGTCATTGAATTTGGACTTTTTAGCCACATCGTTTCTTTTTCAGACAAAGTAAATGTCGTCCGCTTCCTTAAATCCCTTTAAACTCCCACTCGGTTTGCTGTTTGAAACACAATGGGGTTTAGATTAGCCCCTTTTGACTTCATTCTAGCTAATCGTCACGCTCAGCATTTTACGCCCTCATCCCCTTTTTTGCACTCATCAGATTGTGCTGTCAAAGTTGCTCGATCGTCTGGGTGGCTACGTTGGCCGCAAGAAGTCCAATCTCACTAGCTGGCATCCAATTCTCGGCTGGTTCGCCCATCCACTCGATAATTAGTGAGTTATTCGCTCAAATTATGTGACGTTCAGGTGAGATTTTGAGGGCTCTCTGGAGCGCAGAACGGTGTTTTTTAAAGCACGCATTCATCTTAAGCGCGGGCAGCGTGGTCAACATTCCTGAAAGGCTCCAAGGCACAGTGCAAGCCTTTTAGACAAATTCTTCCCTCCATCTTCTGTCGTCTTCTGTTTATGTTAATATTTGTCTTACTCCTCTTGACCCACTGGTTACTTTTAACGGATGAGCTTATTTCCTCCTCCATGTATGCACTCTGATAGTAATGAGTCTTTTTGCAAAGTTCCGCAATTTCTAATCAGACAACATTTTGAAATCAGACACTCTCAGGGATATTCACCCTTTTTTAAGAAAGTGGTCTTGTTTCTTGCAATTCCCCGAGGGAGCTCCTCTCGACTCAAACGTCTCACCTGGCTGTCGCCGCATGCCTAAAAGTGATACCTTTTTCCTGAAAATTCAATCACCGCTGGATCCGGTGGGCCAGGAGGACTAGAGGTGGGACGGTAATCAGGCCGTTTCGAAAATGGTCTAACCTAATCTTATTTATCCTGCCGGTTTCGGTGCAATAACACTGATACTTAAGTCCCTCCTCAGTTTGACCATGCCCTGCCTTGTCCTCAGTGCTCTCACAGAGTTCTTAGGTTTGACAGGCTTCCAACTGTAGAGGTCACTCAACACCCAAAAATGGCTGTCAATCATGAACCATCGTGAATCGATTATTCGTGATATTTTGGTTTCTCCGCGGCTCCTGACTGGCCAGCTGCCGCCGTCGACATTTTGGTCATATGCTAAAGGCATTTGACCTACCAGACCCTCTAAGGAGTCACGATACCAACTTTCATGTGCCTCGTGATTACGAAAGTGTCGGTGCATTGAAATGTGCCCCTTTCTCTGTGCATTCTCTCTGAAGATGAAACTTTAATGGCTGAAAGTCCATCTATATTTGACTGACTTTTGGATGCGTGTCGAAATTTTCCCCTTATTTCATAGTATTTCACCTCTTATAGTTTACTTACTTTGTGTTTTCACTGATTTCCCTCCAATCGCTTCCCGTTTCATCACAGGCGCGCAAAATGTGCAGTTGGCCAATACTAGTTTGAACTACCTGGAATGCTCCCAAGTCTCCCGGCACTGGTCTACACAACAGCCGAAATTAGACTTAAGTGTGTTATTTGGAGCAAATTCCGGCAGTATTTTGTACTCATTGTTTGGTAATGTTGGACTGTGCATGCCAAGGCCAGGTGAAGGCTAGGGGTTTCAGCCAGCGTTTCTTGAGCCCTCTGCGTTGTGTGTACTAGACCATAATTCGTCCGTCTCAGGCGCTGATGTCCACTCCGTTCCATAAGATGGATTCAATCCTATTTCACCCATGAATTTGTTTGTGGTAGTAGATTCACTTCTTCTGGGTGCTTAGTCCGAGGGATGTTTTGTAGGGGATGGGAGCAGGTTTTTAAAGTGCACTTTTTTCAAACCAAGTAAGAATTATACTTTTCTATGGCAAAAGTATCCTGCTTGACTTTCTAACGGTAGACGGCAAGTAATAATGGAAATCTTGCCACGACAAATTTTGATTTCAAGTAATTGCAGATTAATTATTAGGTAAGACGTTTTGCAATGCATGAAAAGTATCATGGGTGTTTATTCCGAGAGTCGTGCAGTAATTCCCCACAATAAACCCCAAATACAGGCTACAAACGTCTACTCAAAGGAAAAAGCCTACGATTGTAGCAGCACCGCTGCGGGAATATCTCAGACTATCGAAAAATACGACTGAGGCTTTTTAGGGACATTCCTCGCCGGCCCTCCCATGATGTCCTTTGCTGCCGTCCTGACTCCGACGTCGCCGTCTGATTGTAGGCGACGCATGGGTGGCCGGTCCAAAACTAGTGTAGAAGTAGATTGCCCTGGCGTCTAGGTGGCTCGATGTTCGGTATTTGTCCCTGGAGAGGGGGGTGACCTGCGATCACAAAATATGCCATCCTCAACCAATAATTGCAGAGAGGCATTATGCGAGGCCAATTAAATCGATTCGAATCGCGGTGATTTCAAGCACAATTTTTCTTCTTTGCAGCTTGCGTAGGTCCTTTCGTCTAAAGATATCCTTAAAATCCAATTGAGTTGCATTTGCAGAGAAAATTTGCAACTTTTCCGATATGTTAGCACTAGGAGGCATTTATCTAAATTCGGAATACTCGTGGCTACTCAGTTGAAATGCGCTTATTCGACATTAAAACCCCGGCTTCCGCCAAAAAAACTTTCTACGACCGTGTTTTTCTCAAATTCTCTCATTCACCAGCAACATCGGCACAATTGAATTCTGCGGGGCTTCATCGTGGTCGTTCTTGTATAAAACTCGCCACCCTCTTGTTTGCCATGCTAGAATTCAAGTTCATTTAGATTCAACCCCTACTACGACAGGGATGTGGTTATTAGTAATTTAGTGGGCCAACGCCCTCTTCTGCTAGGCACACTCTTAGCTGCCGCGTTTTTTCTTACACACAGCCTACAGGCAGCAGTGCCCCATGTGACCAATCAGCTACGCTTATTATGGCATGGTCGCATGGTGCGACTTCTGTTCGCTGACCTCTACGAGCAGGAGGGCCTAGATGGGACCCAGGATCCTATCGAAACTGTCTCCCCTACCTCCGGTCAGTCTCGCCCTGCTGCAGTGGCCGCTGCTACTGCAGCTGCCAAGTCCAACTCCTCCTCAAAGGCGTCGCAGAAGCGATCAGCACGCATCCGTCCCGGTGAGCAGACAGTCACTGAGCGCCAATCTGTTGAAGGTCTGTTACCACCTAATCCACCAAGCTTCGTTTCCCGCCGGACAGCTGCCAGTCGGTTCACGGAGCGTCTGACGCTAAGCCACTTTTTGCGCCAACTGGCTGCCGCCCGTCATTCCTCTGCTCTTCCAGGTTGCAAATTCAAGTATAAAAATGAGGGTTCCTCGATGCCAACCTATCCACACCACCAGTCTCGCAACGGTCCCGGTCCAGAAGACCTCCCACAGTCCATCAAAGCTGTATGTATGCTATACTGCTTCACCATCGGATCTCTCAAGGAGATCAGGAACGACATTCTTGCCGGTGGGTGCCATCTTCCATTCTCTGTACACCCGCTTGTGAAACAACAAATCTACCCATATATTCGTCATAAATTTTGAAATTGGGTCTCGAATATATCCACTTACCTTAAGCACTATACTCGTATCACCATCTTTTAGGTTGGAATCTAGTGGTTTTCTTTTTGACCTGCTATGCATGTATTTGGAAGGGCGTCGTGGCCGCCACAAGCTTCCATGGCGTTTGCTCATCGTTCCTTGAATGTGTAGGCCGCTTCTTCAGAGTAAGGCTAGACTATCACCTGATCAGGTATTGGCCGACTATGCTCGTAAGCGCGCAATTCCTAACAATTAGAACACCGGGTCCGGACAAGCTTGCACAACCAGAAGGCGTTTGTTACTGGGTGGGATAGAGCCGCCAACTCCCAAATTCGCGCCGAATGCTCCACATCTAGGCTCTTTTAGCCAAGCAGACCAGCTGTGAGAATTTGCTAAGATTTCCCTTTTCCTAATTCGCAATGAGCCTATTTTAGTCTGGGCCGTATTTAGGCCATAGAAACTTTCTACTCTTGGACTTGCATACAATGTTAGATGTCCGTCGCAATTCTGTCTTTTGTGCTTAGGGGTGCGGTCCCACCAGCAGAATTGCCTATCCCGTAATGTCTCCACGACACAGGTCAGAAGTAACTCCTCCTCCTGCCAGCTAGTCAAATGCAGTCTGCCCTTTTTATTTCTCTCTCCTAGGGCATTTTGTACTTCAGTTCTTTCCATTGAGACCACAGGCTATGGCCCTCGTAGTACTCTCACGTTTCATCCAGTGTGTAATAATTTTATTTGCTGTGATGTTGTGTTTAAGTACACCAGACGCTTATTCAGCTTCAACAATCAGGCAGGTTGGGATAGCCCACCACAATCGCCAGTACCCTAAGCATCCTAATGTGGTATTTGTAGCACTCTCACATGCATAAGGTCCGAGCTTCCTCCCTTTTTGTGCAAGCCTGGTCCAGTGTTCGTGGGTCAAGTTGTATGATGCACACGTGGACAGGCTGTTTAGCTTTGCTAGCCGCCCCGCTGGAGCATGTCCTGTAGTCGTCCTGATTGTCTTGCCACCAGGTCCAGGTAGGTGAGGGAGGAGAGTGCTTCAGATACTGCGCAAATCTGATGTCACTATAAACTGATTCATGCGCAAGTCACTGCCCTGCGCCGACCAGGTCGTGGGACACACGGTGGATGTCGTCACATTCAACGGTCGAACTGGCATAATTTAAATGGGCTGACGGCTAGATCGCAGTTGGTAGCCAGGAATGGGAAGCGGACGGCAACCTTAACCCTAATCCTAACTTTAACCCTAACTCTAACCTCGACCTTAAACGTTAACCGTTAACCCTAACAGCAACCCTAACCGAACTCGTAAACGTAACCGTATCCCCTAGACATAGCTGTAACTGGAAAACCTAACCGTAATACTGAAGCCTACTGGTACGCTCAAACCCTAACCGTAAACCGAAAACCTAAGCCTAAAGGCATAACCCTAATTCAAAAATCCGAAACCACTAGCCGGTACCCTAATCCTAACATAAAATGTAAAACGGAAGCCAAATGGGTCAGATGTGATTACTGAGCCCCACAAAATAGCCCCAGTAAACAAACCCCCCCCCCCCCCGCCATCTGTAATACGCGGCCTGACCACCAACTGCGATCTAGCCGGATTGACTGCTAATTCCTTCCTCCCCCTCCCCTCCCCCCCCCCAATCTTAAAAGGACCCAGAGATGACTTGCGGCCAATTTGGATTATAGTAGAGGGGACTTAATCCGTGTGGGTCTCGCTCTCATCGTACATACATTGTGCCCTATTGGCAAAGAAAGGTCAAGACGTTTGCTCCCGCCTACGCATTCCACACAATTGCGCCTTTACCTGTTCACCTGAACCAGGCGTCATTAACCCGCATGCCATACTGGTGAGAGTTGCGATTAAGGCACGTCCAGTGCAACCCGACCTCCGGTCTATAGCAAAACCGGGTACTCACCCTTTGGCAATTTTTGAAGCCTTGACTCTTCCAGTACCTAGATATCTTAAATGCGCGCCAAATTATGGTGAGATGGTTGCGCAAGTTTGCCCTCCTTCGTTCTTCTGTCGCACATAATGGACCACCGACAACACAATGTCAAGTTCACTGAGGATTAGATTGGGCGCTGCGGTTGACAGCACATAGTCTTGTCTTTTTACGTGCTAAACCCTCTCGCCTCAATTTAGGTGTGACTCAACGAGGCCGGTGCGGATAACCTAGTAGTGTAGTACGCCCTCCCTGATGTGCTGAGTCCCATCTCGCTCGTGTTCTAACTGTTTCAAATCTACCACCGCCACCAGGCCTAACTCTGGGCGATCTTCTGCCGCGAATGTGGAGGCTCATCAGCCACGCCGGTTGTGTCCGCGACTGGGCAGCTGTTCTGGCCAGTCCACAGGCTGGCTGGCAGCTTGAGCCCCAAGCATCCCACCTGCTTCACCTCTTCACCGCCGCCGCCTCCAACCTTCTCATGTAGGTCACCCACTTTAAGCAATTCCACTCCTTATTGGTAAGATCGTGATTTCCGATCTGGCTTATTATTTCGCCGGCACTTTCTTTTTTACAGCATCCTCGACGATGTTGAGGTGTTCGAAAAGCAAAAAGCCTTTGAACTGGAGGAACTTATGGCCATATCAGACTTCTTCAATCACCTCATTTATGAAACGGTTCTGTTAAAGCCCGATCGTAAGTTGACTCCCCGTGCCACTCCTATGATCGGTGTAGTTATTTTATGTCAATCCTCCATACTTATCTGGAGTGCTTTTCATTCTCACTCATCACTCGTAAGTCTTTGTACGGAAGTCTTAGTGGAAGCAGAGCAAGCGCAGAAATCCGCTCTGTGGTTAATGTTAATTTTTCTGCAACCAATTCACCTTCTTCTTTCGTAACCTTGATGGCAACTTTTAATAGCACTTTTCTGTACTCATGACGACACTCATTAATGTCAGTGCTCCACATGACCGAATCGTCTCAATCGGGGCCATGGTTGATGGGTCTTGTTCCTGGCCGACTCTGGAGGCGCGATCAAGGAAGGATTTAGAGAATAAATCGCAAGCATGATCATTGACATGCTTCCAGATGATGGATATTCACAGAATGCCTTGGCTGTGCGTCGCGTCCATATGGAAGGATTGTCTTGACGGAAGCCGCGTCCTACGCAGTTTTGGCTTTCTGGCTGTTCTCACGTCCAATTCATACGTTTCGGCAGAGTCAAAGACTAATTGCGCATGCTTTCCTTTTCACCTAACTAGTTTTTCAGGCAGCAGAAGCTGTCCACTAGCACAAATGTTTCACCGTATACGGTGACACGATAGAGATCTGCGACCGTTAAACCCATCCTGATTGTGCTTTCTTCGAGGATTATATTTAAAGACCCATTTGGACTGCCTGCACACAGCACTTTGTATTTCCGTAAAGGCGTTTGTCCTCCCAAACTCCTCAAGATTCAAAAAATGCCTTTTCGAGTCACCCGATCGTTGTATGGCATAATAGGCTGTAAAAAAGAGCACAATTGGAGTGATCTCACTGCGCCCCGAACATCTGTGCGGTTACTTAGTCTGCGATTGTGGTTAGTTATTGATACAGGTCTGTTTGATCTTTGCACCCGAAGTGGAGCCGCCTAAAACGGCGACTAGCAGTCGTACCTGCTCCGTGCAAGCTCTGGATATAACACGGATGAATAAAGTGCTGCTTCGTTTGTCCTCTCGTACTCTTAAGGTCTTTCATTTTAACTACATATTTGTTAGCTAGAGAATGCATTTCTTCGCGCTTCTTCCCCCCCCCCCTGATGAAATGAAGTGACCACAGGAAACAGCGAATAATGCCTACCACATCACCTACTCCATAAGCGTCCTACAAGTTCCGTTTGAATGTCAGTTTTAGGCCACAGACTGTCAATGGCAGATACTTATGAGTTGTATTATGGCAGTGAGATTTAGCGAACAGGCTCGGCTGCATTCTATTCCAGCTGTTATTATGTGTACCCTGAGTTGGTTTCAAGTCTTCAAAACCACGTTATCAAAGTCATTTGTACTAAAACTGACTCCTTGGTAATCGATTCCGTTTTTTGTCTGTCCTACAGCATCTACGTTGCTCTTGGTTGACTCCATCCAAAAGCACGCGGCCTCGAGCCCTTCAAGACCAGATGCAAACGATGCTGCGATGAACGGTTCTCAGTCTTCCGTTACCGGACCTACCGTATTTGCTATTTGCCTTCGCTTCCTTGGGGTTCTGTACGATCGCGATGGCCGCCGGAAATTCACACCAGAGGGCTTTTGGCTGATAAAGTAAGTTGTCACCGCCTCCTCGACTGTTCTAAGTGAATTTCCGTCGCAGGCTCGACCCGGTCGTTAAGGTCCCCCTGGAAAATGGTTGCTAAAGAATGTCGTCGACAAAAGTAGCACAGACACACATACATACGGCAGTCCGACCGCCGTGGTAGACGGTGACTTCCGTGTGAATTAGTTTATAGAGATGGGGGACTTGCGCAGCATCCATCGCACTCATCTACTATCACACCCCCTGGTCCAAAACGTACACTTACTAGGATTTTAAACAACAAGAAAAGAAGGAGGGGGCAGCTCGAATCTCAGTTGGCGCGGCGTGAGCCTTCACCTGGTCCTGCCGCCACCGCACCTCAGTGTTGGCATTTGTTGCGGATGCTCATTCCCAATAACGCCTGCCGGACTCCGATCTAGTCCCCGTGTTGGTCCAGCGCATCTACCGCGAGGCCCGTGGTAGGGGCACAGCACACACACACACATACACTGATTTAATCGTTTAATCGACTGGAACTCGGCAGTCTTCCATCTTAGTCATTTTACCGGTCTTGGTGGTCGCCTATCATCCTAGCCTTCTTCAGTCCTCGTGCCCATTCATCCCTAGTATGAGCTACTGGCGAATTCTAAAACAGATAACGTGGTTGTTTGCAAAGCCCGAGGTATTATTTCAATCGCTCAGATACAGGAAGATGCGGTGAGCAAGTGTAGTGCACAGGATTTTCTGATCGCCTTGTACCAGTTTGTCCTTCTCAATCCACCCAATTCTAGCCCAGATTACAATGACCTCTCAAATATCCACCAGCCATCACTGACGCTGATAAGTGTATGCAAATGAGGCTCGCGTTCTCGTCCTCGGCGACTTTTGTCCTTTTTATCTACTCCCACTCCGTGTTTTTCTGTTATTTTTCTTCCTCTCAAATCTATGGCCAAAGCCATCAAAGGTCCAGTTTCGATTTGTAATTTACACAATTTGAGATGGTCGCCGGCCCCTCATACTGTACCAATCTACCCCATAATTATAAGTTCACCTGCCTTTTGGCCGACCTCCCAGCAGGTTTGAACAGATCGACTCCGCGTAACATGTGACTTATAGGATGAGAACGTTTGGTGTGAACAAGGTTTTACTGCGTAATGATAGATAGATAGTAAGAGTGGTCCCATAGCTTTAGATTCCACTTTGTTGTCAGGCGTTTCTTTGCGTCTGGAGTGGGAATGAGGCGCACTGTAAATGGTACGTTATGTCCAGTTTTAAGTAAATGTCACCACAGTCCAGTAGGATGAGAAAAATCCGGTGATTAGCACTCACAAGTTGATTTTTTAAAACAAATTAAACGGACTACAGTCATTTTGACGTACAGATTCCTAGAGATGTAAGTTCGACGGATTTTAAGCGAAAATGGATTTTGGGCGTTGTCTGCAGCGGGTCTTTGCAGTAGGAGGATCGGATAACGCCTGGATAGATCGAAGACCGTGATGGTTAAACATGTAGTAGTTCGTGAAAAATGCTGTAAGAAACGACAAACCTGATGGAGGCGGAGTTATACATCTCAGATAATAATGTCAGTACTGCTTTAGGTATCTGCGAGAGACAAGAGTATGCGCATTATCCAGCGAGATTTGCCGCTGGAGTTTCCACAGAATCATTAGAAATTGATTGCTTCTCCCTCATCAGAAGCTCCTGCAAGTACCACCGTTGATTAAGTACCCCAAGGAACAACGAATGCACTGGACTGATGATCAGGCTGTCTGGGCAGATAAGTGACCCAAGGTGATCTTCCCTGATAAAAATAAATTTTGATCTGGATGGTCCGGACGGCTGAACTGTTTCTAGCATGACCGGCGTAAGGATTCTGATACCTGCAGTAGATGATCGTGTGGAAATTGTAATGCGATGGTCTGGGGGCTTTTGTTTCGCGCAGCAAGTTGGAATTGGCGTTTCAACGATAAAAAATGTTGCCAACCATACGTTGACACATTTTCTGCTTAACTACCGCCTTGTGTAGGCCGACACAGCAGTGGGCGCGTGGTATTCCAACGAGACAACTGTGGTATACATAGAAATCATGGATTGAAACAGTGGCTAAGAAGCGGCCGAATCGAGCCAGTGACTAGCCATCTGAGCACCGATCTTTATCTAATTGAGGATATGAGAACTGTTATTAGGGTGTGTATAGTGCAATGACTCAACTTTCCAACTGAAGAATCAACTGAAGGAGGCTATTTAGTAGGTGCTAGATGCGCCGAGTGAACAGCATTTGAAAGTTTGATTAACACAATGAATAACACTTGTTTTAAAATTGTGAAGAGAAATGTAGGTCATGTATCCTAACAAATTAAGCAGTGACATTGCAGCGTTAGTGGCCTTATAATTGCGGACCAGCTGCCTATTGACCATTACTACTTGGCAGTAGGATGGATCATTTTGTGATAAGACCTTTTTCACCCAAAAGTCTGTCACTCTTTTACTTTCTGATGCAAAAGACCGCTTCGATCTACTCAAAGTTATTAGAACTTCAGCCAAAACGCAGGCGGTTGTATTTAATCTGCTGATTACTCCACAACTACTTTGCATATCTCTTTATTCTAACTGAATTTCGTTTGTTTTTACCTATGTACTGCATGGGCTTTTAGGGAACTGAAACCATCAGCCTTTTTGGCGGACTTGAGGAAGGAAAAAGTTCATGCAACGTTCCTCCTAAAACACGTCCCACATATTATTCCCAGGAAAGAGGCAAGGGCATTTCGGAAATTTTCTTTTCGTCTGTTTACTAGCCTGCTGCAAATTTATTTCTATTTGTCTTACCTTTGCCGTGCATTGTTGTCAGATATGTACAACCGATCTCCTCAAATGAGCTTCGACCAGTTTCCTAGAGTGCCGAGCCATTTCACCGAACTAAGCCACTTTAGGGACCCAGAAAAATTTCCAGCGCACCCTCTTGATTTGTGTAGAAAATATGCCTAGTTCATGGGGTTTATTGTTTCGGGCCTCAAAAATTTCACCGCTTCAGACCGTTATTCATCGGCTTTTCAGCCTTTTTCAATCCCCTTTAGCAAATTTGTCTGATAGGGTCGACCATGTCCTCAATGTCATGCTGTTAGTCAGTCTGCACACCCTCATACCTACCCTGTTTAGGTTTTGACTTGGAAATTCTACAAAGTTTGGCAAAGTATTGCCGTCGATTCGACTCTACTTCCCTTGTTATATCGACTTTTTCCATTCAGAAAGCTGGCGAGTTGAGTTGGTTCGTCGGTAGCATGGAATTTTCTTCGCTCTTGATCATGGCCCATGAGTTCTAGGCGTACTGCAAAAACATCACTGAAACATTGTTTACCTTTTAAAAATCTGTTGATGTTTCAGCTCAATATGTGTATAAAAACCATTCTTCGCAGGCTTACTTTAATAGAGCCCAATTCCTATGTCAGATCCAGTGTCCGATTCCTTTTTGATTTGCCGTGCCAAGTAACCACGCTGATTTTTTCAATTTCGAGTGATCTCGCCCTCAAGACTGCTTTTAAACTAATTTCAACCATGCAAGGACATTGAGATGTTTCAGGCGACAAGGAAGACAGTGTACCTCATACCTCTCAAGTCTTATCTAACGAGACACTCGAAAGTGCGGAATTAGAGGATTCCGCTACCGAGCTTGATCAGTATTGGGGTTTCGTGGACGGTAGTTTTTCCATCAGACAGCTGGGAGTTCTACAAGTCTCAAACCCAAACTAATACAGTGCCGACATTCCTTCCCGGAAAATAATAGCCCTCACTATTTGTGTGTCTGTCCTGACCTTCAGCGACTGCGTAGTTTTCGTGAAATAAAGCGGCGACAACAGGCAGAAACAGCTATAGCGTCTGGTTTTGAATCCTACATCAGCGTGGATGTCTGCCACCGTCCAAAGTCCGTTTCACCATCTGGGGTCCTCGGGAAATTAATACCCCCGGCAGTTAATTCTCACTTCATACTTTATGACAGCCGCCTCTTGGGGACAGGCGGACTGCTCATTACCTGCCCGAGAACCGGTCAGTCAGCGGCGGGCGTATTACCACACAAAGGACACGTTACTGCTAATATCGCTATAGTTCCTGTCTATTCGCTAGCGCCGCCTGCCGACCGGCGCGATAGCGGAACCTTCTACTTCCAACTGCAGGAACCGCCTGATGGACTCTCCTCACCACTTTGTTGTCAAGTTCGGCTTCTTGCTGGTTAATGAGAGCATCAACCTAATCCTCCTTAAAGTTTCACCCCTCGTGCCGCCTCTTTTTTTGGTTTAAATGCGTTTTATCTTTTGTTCCCTACAGAGAGTCATCCTTTTCCGCGAACTTGTGCGAGCGAACAAGGCATCTCTGGGTATTTTGTCTCAAACAAACTGCATGCTGGACAGTGCCGCTGTCGGTGCAGTTATCATGATACACAGAAACCGCATTGTTGAGGTACGCTGAGGATTTTTAATGATTGCCTATTTCATTGTGAATGAAAAACGCGGTCTCAACGTTGCTGCTCTCTCTCTCTCTCTTTGGGCGCAACAATTGTCATCCTCTCTAGAATCACAAAATCTCCTTTTATAAGACTTTATCAATTCCTTTCCCGGATCAAATAATTCAACCAGCCGCATCATGAAACCATGTTATCCTCCCTGCAAAATGCTAGCTGTCAACTGAGGTCTTGTTGTGCTTTGAAAAGTCTGATTTCGATTCCTGTGACTAGACAGTGCCGCTCTTCAAGTTGTTGGTATTCTCATTTGAAATTAACATGGGAAAATTTGTCTTCCAAACACAGAAATCAGAGGAATAATTACCTAAGAAATTGTTTCTCAAAGTTGCCCTGGTCGCGTCGGCAGTGCCGAAAGTTGTTAAACTGCGATTGGACACTGCACATATGTATATTTTAAACTAGAAAGGATCTTCGACGGTGACTGGTGCGAAACAGTTCTCCACGTCTGCTCATATGTGATAGCAGGTTCACTCTTAGATAATAAACTTCACTGACGCCGGTGTCAGCAACGGTCAGGAAGAGCTCACTGCATAAATAGTTTGCATTTTCCTACATATTTTGTGTGCTTGTATTGATTTGGTTATATTTTCTCGATTTTTTGGGTTATGCTGTCTTGAAGCATCATACCTCAGAGGAGTTAATATTTCGCTTTTAACAAATTTTTTCACCGGGCGATTCGTTGAGACATTCGCTCGAGGGCATGTATAATCTGACATTATCGGGTTTATTAGTTTTGCTTATGGAATTCTGTCAGGGCATATTCTTACAGACTCTAAGCACCCGGATATCTTCGCCTAGAGAAATGACGAGAAATACACAATTGCTTTAAGCAGACACAGTTATGTCACGTAGTTTCCAATATTTTATAGTATGCGAAAAGGTGGATTGTGTTTCGGATACACAAGAATTACCGAGGTTTTTAATGCCAAGTGTTTTGTACTTTCAGACACTGAATGTTTAAGGAGTGGTGAGTTTTTCCCTAGCGTGCATAAAAGGTTAACTTTCTGCCTATTCTTCCGAGCAGTTATACTCGAGTCTATTTAAGCGTCCAAAGTCGATGGAACGCATACATTCCACATAAAATAGTGACTCCTCGAGTTTTGTTAACATAGGCTGTTGGAAGGGCTTGCAGTCGGAAGCCAACAGGCTGCCTCGCATACATTTGACATTCGGGTTCCATGCAAACCAGAACTGCGACCCGGTTTGCGTAATCGCCTGCTGCTGACATTTAACTCAAATGCGTATGGCCTTTGGTGCACTAGCGGTTTGCATCTCAGCCGGTTGACCATCGAACAAGGCTTTCTTCGTCAGTGCATAACGGCTTCATTGCATGCTGACTGAGATGGGGACCATTCAGGGGTCACATGGGAGTGACATGCGCCGATCTATCGCGATTACGGAGCCGGAAACTGGCTGCACACCCTCATATCCTGGAGCAGAATGTCCTATTCTTCCGTGTACCCCTGACAAAATCTGTCAGGCCTGGGTGCGATTGACATGCGCAGTCAGTTTTAACAGTTCTTCGTCGTGCGAATGTCCCCATGCTTCAATTCAATTGGTACTCACATCGTGCATGAGCGATGCATCAAGCATCCTGCTGTCCGTTGTTCGAGTTTGGATTCGTAAGCAAGCTCAGTCCAGAGAGAGAGAGTAAGGATGCAGATCGTTTTTGAGAGTCAGCCGATGTAACTTTTTCATCACATTCTCACCTATCGATTTTCAACTCTTCTTCTATTTTATAACCGTATTTTATGTTAAGGACAGGGAGCCCTTCCGACTCCTTCACCTCGATTTTCTTTCCTTTGACCATTTAGGATGGGTATCAACAACTGGCCAATCTGAGCACTACTCAACTTCGGATGAAAATCCGAGTCCAGTTCATCAACGCCATGGTAATCTCGTCCTTACTCTTTTCGAGTCCTTCTTGTGGTTTGAGAGTTTTAGGGATCTAGTCATCGACAGTAATTCGCATTGTTGACAACGGTTGGGATTTTCTGCATCCGTTGATACTGCCGCCTTTTTGCGCATTTGCAGATTGCACATATCAGCTCAAGCCATTCCCTTCTCACCGCTATTTCTGCTGTGCTTTGTGTTTCCCTTCCAGGGCCTTGACGAAGTGGGTATCGACCTTGATGGGGTCTTTAAGGAGTTTCTGGAAGAAAGTCTGCGCCGTGTTTTTGATCCCTCTTTGAATCTCTTCCGCGTTACCACCGATCAGCGCCTCTACCCGTCTCCAACTTCCCACATTCAGGATGGCCACCTTCAGCTGTTCGAGTTTGTAGGAAAGTTGCTGGCCAAAGCCGTCTATGAGGTAGGTTCCCTTGCAGAAGAATCTATGAGAGCCTCTTTTTCGACAATGCTCGTTTACTTTGTAGCTAGCTTTTGTATCCTGCATTGTCTAAAATTCATACCTTCTGGCTATCGTACTTACCGAGCCTTAGGATGTACTGGCGAACTTCTTAATCACGCGTTTAAATACAAAATATTAGACCAGCCGGGTTCTACAACTGATAAGAATATATCATGATCTAACGATTTTCAGTCTAACACGACATGTTCGCTCTCAAGTGCAAATCTTCCCAGGTAGTTAGAGATGTCCCGCCCAAAAAGTACAGCCCTACCTAATTGGCACGCATTCTCCCCCTTCTTTACTCCTGGAATTTTGAACAAAAAGTCCGTCACTTAGTTACTTTGTAAAATATTACTCCATCAGGAAATGAAGTTTTTCGGACATCTAGAATATTTCGACTTCAAAAGTTCAGTCCTTAGCATATTTTTGAAACATAACTTTCTTCTTCCATGTCATTGGCATTTACGTTCACGAAAATATTTTTATATAATAGGGCCTATGCTGCTACGGGGCACGTCTTAGAATGCACAAATTCATGAAACTATCTGCACGCCTCCTAAGAAGACCCAGCGACAGCTACGATGTCAGGCCGCGCACGAATTAGAAAAAGCCTCCAGTGTCTAAATTGCCAGTCGATTTTTCAGACTGAAGTCCTTTCTAGGAAGACAATTTTATTTTTTTCGACTGAAAAGACAACTCATAGAATGTTTGTAACACATGTGAAGATGTTTCTTAGTTAGAGCATTATGAGGGTTTGGAAAGCTAGCATATTTGGACGGTTCTATTAGTCAATTGCCGTATAAATTTAACCCCTTGTACCTCTTCTTCAAGTTTGCTCTACTTTTCCATTATACTTTTTCTCACACTAGGGCATTATTGTTGATGTGCCTTTTGCCAACTTCTTCTTGACTCAAATACTCGGCAGACAGCGCACAAGCTGTTATAGCTTCCTGGATGAACTGGCTACGTTTGATCGAGACTTGTACAAAAGCCTCACCTACGTAAAGGTAAGTTCTCCTAACAGCTTGGTGCATCTCATTAGATGTGTGCGTACGGCTTAATTAAATTGCCCCATGTCCTTGCTGATTTTTTTTATTCAGTAATTTCGGGAAACTTGAGATTACGCGTGCTTTACCGCTGCGTCCTACCTTTTAGCACTATGAGGGCGATGTCTCGGATCTGGAACTTACCTTCTCCTACGATGAGGATTGTCTGGGTCAAATTGTTGTTCACGATCTAGTACCAGGCGGACGCTATATAACAGTTACAAATGACCTAAAGTAAGCCACTGCCCCTCTCCGTGGCCCGTCACACCTAGGCTGTCTGCTTTCTTGTTTTAGTATGAATGAACTGCATCTTCTCTTCCTATAATCCCTCAATGACACCCGAACCCCCACCATGATCCGCGGCTGTACTGGGTTCAGCACGCTGAGTACACCCCTTTGTCACATTCTTAAGTCTGTCTCTCAGCTATATTTGACTCTAATTTACCCCCTAGACCTCTTCTAGCTTATTCATCCCTATAACTCCCCATGTCCAACGAGCATTTGTCCCTTGGCAAACAATTGGGCCCTCCATGAGTCAAAAACATGCTACTTAATATCCAGTCATGAGCATGTCGAAGGTGAATACCCGAGCGTGTTCGGTTTGTTTTCTTTGGCGTCAGACCCTTTGTTCCATTTAATTAATCTATCCGCATGCCCGTTCTACCTTTTCATGCACTTTCCTACCCTAAGTCTCATCACTGTAGTCCGCTGAACCACTAGCTTCCAGACACCTTGGTCCGAGCCTCTGTCCTGCCCGCCACAAAACGATCACTACATTGCGTTCACTGATCTATCCTGGCAGCCAGAGGAAACGAGTCACAGGAACCTGCCTGTGCCACCACCCACTGACGAGAACAAATGGCCCATAAGTAACCAATCCAGTCTCTGCCATTCCCAGAGTAAAAAAATTCCGAAGTACGAGAATGTCCAATGAAGATTAAGAGGATTGTCGTCAGAAACGGAAGAGTGATCTATACTGTATTTGGGCGCTATTCGTGCCTATTTCAAACCTAAATTCTAAACACCTTTTTTTTCCTCAGCCGATCAAATGAAGTTGTCTAAAGTGGCATGATTATAAAGTCCAGCTTTCTATTCAATTCCAGTCCATCGCTTTGCTCCGTTTCGCCCAGCAAGTAAGTACTGTAAGCAGACACGTCTATTTTGCGGAAGCAGCCCTCTGGACCGCGCACAAATATGTTTATCATCCTCAAATGTGCATGATTAACAGAAGCATTCTCCCGAGGTGGAACGTGAATTTTGTGCGAAACGCTGATTCAAAGACCGTTTACACCGACTAGTAGGTCCACAAAATGTACTGGTAATGTTCTTTCCTGGCTTTTAAAGACTAAATCATGGGAAAGTACCTGCCTCTTTAGCTTTGTGTAAAGATTTGCGGCATTCACCTGTCTCAATTGTAACTAGCCCGGTACAGAGACAATTTCACCATTGGAGATAACATAGAACTCTCAACGAGCGTTAAGTGGACGCCCACTTTTAAACTAAACGGAAGTCATTGCCAGGCTATGCCGTTCTAGGCATAAATGCACACGTACGAGGTTTAACTGGCTACCCCTCTCCGTTTTGGCGATAAAATTGGTGTATCGGGTTGACTACGCTGCGACCCCTGTGGGCTTCTGCGTATAAGTCAAGAGACGCCTATTCCCACAGTGTAGGAGTTCACTACGTGTACAATCTAAAGTTGCCTCTCCTTCTTCTGTTGCTAGAATAAGTTACGTGCATCGAGTGGCTCTCTTCCGAATGTACAAGCAAATCCGAGCGCAGACGGCCAGTTTCGTTCGCGGCTTCTACTCCATCATCAACCCTGACTGGTTGGCAATGTTCTCCCCCCTCGAACTGCAGCAGCTTATCTCCGGAGACTCTGTCCTCATCGATTTGGAGGACCTGAAGTCAGCACCCACTTTTTTCTTCACCTCTCTCTTTCCTCATGTGTTTGTCAGAGTCCCCGCTCGGCAAAGTCAATGAATGCTTTCCGCACAACCTTTAGCACGCCTTACCATCCCAGTGCGTATCAGATACCTTCCCTTGCAAACCTGGGTTTCGTGCAATTTGGTGGGCGAACCGCTGATATAATTGGAAAAACTAGCATCCATAGGTTGTTGACAAGGACAAGAAGCAGTAGCATGGCCATTTATGACTTATTTACCGCATTTAGCCAGTGAAACCACAAATCCTAGCCCAAGTGAGGGAACATTTGACTTGAAATGTTCGATTGGCAATTGACTCAGATCGAAGCTCTGGGAGCGTTTGACAGCTGATAAGCCGGAAGTGATTACCTTAGTGTTCCTAACCTCTGCCGGTAACATTTCCCGTTGACCGATTTCTCCGCGCTGCCCGAAAGTTCTAGACCCGCAACTCTAAGGCAAAACGGAAACGCCCATATCCATCCTGTAATGAAGATGGGACGCCAAACACCCCTAATACTTGCTGACATCCTCGACCTTTTTGAATTTTTCTGAGAAACCAGTTTAACGACGCCGTGCTTTCCGTGTGCTAGGCAATTCCCAAAAATCTAGTAGGCTACTTTCCGGCACAAATCAACCTTGCCCTAGAAGTTATCGGCAGCCCACACTTTTTTCCGTCTCATTTTTTTGCGGAAAATCCTTTCAGATAGCCAGAGCAACTGAAGTGTCCGGATGCCTTGATAAGGCTTTACTCTACGTTATCAGTCAAACTATACCTGCTCTCTGACCCACAGGTTTTCCTGTTCCTAATATATTCGTAGCTTCTATATGATTTAACCCAGTGTTAATAATTACTAAGGCAATGTTCACGAAACTCATACGTCTTGCCCGTGCCTAGCCTTAAGGTACTATGATTTCCGACTTTTTCTGGCGACTTCTTGCTTGTTTTATGAATTTAAGGAGTATGCAGTCGGTCAATTGAGCAGCATACTTTTATCCAAAAGGTTTTGTTTCCCTGTTACCTCCTCAACCGTCCATTGTCTGTGGGCTTATTTAATGTGTACTCCTGGGTTGCCTAAGGTTTGTGAGCGTCTGCTATGCCATTGCTCAGCAAACCGTGACCCTCGCAGCCTGGTGTGCGCTGGCAGTTCTCCGGTGCCTACTTTTCTGGCGGTAGATGCGCTTACGTGTGCACGGCTGCCCAGTCCTCCACGTCTTTTCTGTTGTCGGTCAAAATCCTAGTCAAGTGTTTGTTGTGAACCAGAGGGTGTGGGGTGGATCGCCCAGGTGCGGGTTCAGCCGCGCCTCCCACCTGCACCCTCCCCGTCTTTGGTCTTCTTGACTCTGTCTCGACACCAGGCCAAGGTGGGGAGGAGAGAGTGCGGTTGATTTTGCGCAAGTCTACTCTCACTATAAACTAATTCACTCGTAAGTCACCGTGCCTGCCCCACCGCAAGGTGGAGCAGGCACGGTGGACATGGTCGGATGCAACGGTCAAACTAGCATCCTTGGGTTCTACCCTTACGAAAGTATAAACGATCACATTTGCGACTGTTCGCCTTACAGACAACACACCAAGTACTCTGGTGGCTTCTACAGCAATCACCGCGTTATCAATTGGCTATGGGATATTCTCAGGCGCGACTTCACAAACGAAGAACGAAGCCTGTTCTTGAAGGTACATTCCATTGCGTCTTTTTTTGCGAATGCGCTTTCAACACTTGACGTGTACTCCTTCCTTTTAGTTTGTGACCAGTTGTTCAAAGCCTCCTCTCCTCGGCTTTGCCTATTTGGAGCCGCCCTTCTGCATCCGATGTGTTCAGTACACCAATGAGGATCAGGCAAGTGGCCAGCGTTCCCACCTCCCCTGGGAATCTAGTTCCTTGCTCATTCTTTATCATTCTTTACCTGCTCTGCCCTTGGTATCGAGTGGTCTCTTGGAACCGTTGGCCTCCTATCTTCGGTGGACATTATGCATTCTAGCTTCTCCGCGTCGGTCTGCATGTTATTTGAAGTGTCCTTAAAATTAAGTTTGATATTTGCAGTGGTGAGGCAAGTAGACCGTCATGTTTACTGGTCACATCCGTTGTCCAACTGCGGAACGTCAATGTTAACAAGGCAGTATGGCCGTATGCCATAAAATTTGGCTGTAGCGCCAGCAAAGCTACCACTTGGTCAGACGTCCACTCAAATTGACCCTAGTTGCTTATTTTCTACTGTTGGTTGACATTTGTTGGGTCAGTTGTTTTTTGTGCTACTTCACGTTTCACCAATGAGTCCAAAAGGCTCGTTCGTTGCCGATTTTTGTCAGCGGTCGAGTAGACCGACTTGTAACTTCACCCTACTTCGATGAATGGCTATATCTTTGCAGACGGTGGGTTAGTCAAGCGTTTTTGAAGTCCTCACACGTTTTGAATAGGTCAAAATCTTGATCATTTAGTGCGATATTTAGTGTTTGGTGGACCAACGCCTGCTAAAGTTGCCACACTCTTGGCCGATTTTAAACTTATTCAGGGAACCCAAAGTACTCATCGCTCTCGGTTACTACCGCTTCCTCGCCTCTCAGAGTTACTGCACGCGTTCATCCCTGGTTAGCATTTGCCAGCATACCAAATCCTTTGATCTAAACAAGAGCGTCAACGCGCGCTCTCATTTTGCAAATCCCTGTAGCTCCCTCTCATTTTACAGCTGCCTCCGTAGGAAAAAGCACTGCCTTTCGAGAACTGAGGGGTAGTCTGTCGCGTTTGACGACTACTCCCATCACCTGCAGAGATGGCGACTTGCGCGTGACTGAGAGCCCGGTCCAGCATTGACCTCACTTTCCTGGCACTTAACATGTGCAACTGATATTAAGGGTAGACAAATTAGGAACCACCTTGTCACCTGGCTGGCCCTGGCACTGCGCCCCATGCCAGGGAACTAATGGCATCCTCCAGCATCTCAAACGCTGCCGAATCTTCAGTTTATACAGTTTGGCGGTGGCGGTGGTGGTTGGCAGTAACGTCTTCTGTGTCTGGTTTTCTCTATATTTAGATTTTAACGTCAGCTCAAACCAATATTTTCTTGTTCTGTATTCCCCACTGGCCAGGATGTCGGAGATACGCTGGGTTCGGTGCTTAAGGGCTTCTTTGGTTTTGGCAGTCGCCGTGGTGAGGAACAGGCTCGCTTACCCTCGGCCTCTACGTGTTTCAATCTGTTAAAATTGCCCAACTACGCTTCACGATCCGTGCTGCGTGACAAGCTGCGCTACGCTATACACAGCAACTCGGGATTCGAACTCTCCTGACTTCAGCCTTTGCCTCCTCGTCCGGAGCACTCTGCCGTCCTCACTTGGGAGCGATGCAATTTTTCAGTTCGCAGAACACCCTGCCCCTGGCCTATAAAACTACCATCGCTTTCAAGGCGCACTGCCCCACCTTCACTGCATGTTTTGTCAGAATCAGTCCGCATGCATCGATACGGAGTTATTGGTCATAATTTGGATTTCATTTCCATCTTTGTGCAGGTTATTTTGATCATTTATTATTCGTGTAAGCAAGCCCACAACCTTGACTTTGTCGATGAGCCTATCCATTTTTTTCTTGTCTGTTATCCATAGCCCGGGCCGGAAACCCCCTGAGGTCTGAGCTAGGGTCTGGTAGTTCTATACGAACCATTGTTTCCTCCGGTCCTCTGACTTTGTCGCCAATAGACTGCAGCACTGTATGTTGGTCGGCTTGCGAGACAGAAATCTCCCAAGTCCCGACACCACAATCGTTTTTTCACCATTGGCTAGTGCTTTGTCAGACTAGCACCTGCCTATTCGGCAGAGTCGCCGTTTCCACCCGCCACCCGTGGATGCGTCGCACATGCAACAATACGGCCAGCAGGCAGACCCTGTTATCCCTGTAAAACCACCGTAGACGACGAAGCTGATTAATCACGATGATGGAAATCCGGGTAGCCCGTGCGCGATGAGCAAAAACTCTCTGTTATATGTAACACATTTCCAAGTTGTGTTATTAGTGCCCGGCAGAACATTTCAGGTAAAGATCAGCAGATTCCCTCCTGCCAGGGCGATGTCCTGTACATCGTTGCACGCATTCCTTCTTTGTGGGCATTAACCCCGGCGGGCATCAGGGATCCAAGGGGTCCTGCAATCATTAATTCGCGCTTACGCAAGCCCTCGACAGGATCTTGCCTCGATTCTATATTAACACACAATATTTGGGCTTTTCCAGATAGGTGGCGGGGGACAGAGCCTGTGGACAGCCCTGCCTAAACGGTTGGACGCGTGTAGCACCCGCAAGGTCGCTGTTGCCCTGGACGATGACTTGCCGCTTAAAGATTAATTTTGCTCACTAACTGGCCGGTAAGTGGGTCAAGCGGTGCCCGCATTCTGGGCCGCATGCGCTCGTGGCCAAAACATGTAAGAGTCCGCCTCCACCGAATGTTCATGTTCGTCAAGGGTTATTTCCATATGTCCAACTTGCCTCGGACCCGCGGGTTCGCATGCAGACCTGTGGAGAACGCCAATTGGCAACGTTCTGTAAGATTATTGATAACAGTTATCTCGTTTAAAAGGGCATCCTGAGCGAATTTGATTCAGTGTGAAAAATAATATGTACACCGTAGTCAACTGTGGCTGGCTAAAATACCAAACAGGTGGTAAACGCCCGTAGAGTCTCTTAGACCAACGGGCGTATCACAAATATTACAAAGAACACGATGGAACTGCTCATTTTCGGTGAGGGTGTGTTGTTTGACAGATGACTCCCCAGAAGTGGGCCGGTGGAGGACCTCGCTTTCGTCCACTTTGCAATTGAAAGTGAAAAGCGTCCGATATTGCGTTTTATATCGAGAGTGCCTAAAATAAAGTTAATAATTGGAAGTCCATCGGATTCTTGCTCTAGTAACACCTAGTCTTTAATCATATTCCAGAAAGTCATATGAAAACGAAATACGAATAATTACATGACAAAGAGACTTTGGCCGCGCGATGTTTAAGTGCTGGGCCCGTCAACTAATAAGTTGGTGGGAGCGTGAGTTTTTACTTTGATACTGACAAAATAATCAGCGGACAATCCCCAAACAACGGGGGGTCCGACGCAAGCAAGGGATGTGGATTTCAGAATTATCGGAACGCGAGCACTTCGCTTCCCCCAAGGACATGTAGCAGTGGCCAGTGTACGGTGCTTTTAAGTGGCACGAGAAAATAAAAAGCATTCAGTTTTAGTCAGATAAGTAGCTAGTTTTCATCGATAAAGCTGGACAAAGCCTATAGGTGGGTAGATAAGGAATAAAGGCGGCTCAAGTACGGAGGCGCGCATAGCTCCTTACGGATCTACACCACAGTACGCACCTGACTCCTAACACAGCTAGGCCTCCGAAGACTGTTGTAGGCTGGTCCATGGTCAATTACTTGATATATGTAAATCTGCTCATTCGGGCGCGGCCACGGATAACCTGAGGCTTGTTAGTCCGCTATGAGGAAGCCGTTTTACCATTCAACGAAGGCACTAGTTTAGAGCCAAAACATGTCTCACCGGTTGCCTGCTGTTGCGCGATGCAATTCTGAATGGGCTAATTCCTCGGCAAGTTCCAGTGTTCCCCACGTGGGTGTTGGTATAATTCAGGCCTCTTCATGCAACTGCAAGAAACCGACAAAACATGCATGTCTGGTTGTGCCTCCGCTGAGCGCATGGTTAAGTAATTCTTGTTTGGAAAAGACAACTTTGCTAAATCTGCAGGTTAACATTACGCGGATCGCCGCTGGAGTTGATGCATCGGGCCCAAACTTCTGTGCGCTTGTCCCGGTTTACTGCCACAAGCTCTTTAATTATGTCACAAATATGCAAAAACCCTTCGCAGTTGAGCTGGAGATCAGAAAATGTACGAAGTCGTTAGGTTCTACACGTTTCGCCCAGCCTAGTGTAGTCTGCATTACTTTGCAGTTGAGATTGCCAGCCTCTGGCGGCGACGCACAAACTTGAAATACTACGTAATTGTTACGAGTAGCCGTTCGTTTTTATTTGATTCAACATATGGAAGTACGAAATACGCACTTTCGATTATTTATTTTTTGCTTTGAAAAGCTTTGTCGTGCAACTCCAGCGGGAAGTTGCTCCAAATACATTGGACTTTTCTTACGACTCAGAGGTAAGGGGATACCGAAAGTCCATGCAGCAGCTGGACAGGTGGCAAATTAGGTAGCTAGAGCGCTCGACGTAAAGTTGGGAGGTCGGCGTCCGAGTCCATCCGGTGCGTGCTTCTTCGGCTGTGCCAGTTTCTTCGTCCAAGTCGAAGACACAAGTAATTATCATACAAACAGTCAAAGAAGTTAAAAAACCATCGAGTAGGGTACGTGGGTCACATGGTCACGGGCGGCACGTCTGGCGAAGTTACTACTTAGCAATGAACATGCTCACAGCCTCATCAAACGAGTGGTAGGATTCGCCTAACTCCACCTAATGGGATGTCAAGTCCTCCATTATGTCGTCTACTCCATTGCCGCATCACGTGCATGTATGCGAAATATGCAATGAACTTACCTCTGACAGTTAGTCGACAAAAGGCTCATACAACCAGGGCAATTCAGAACGGCATCTGTACGAGAATTTTCCAACTGATCACCGTGGCTGGTAGCTTGGAAGTTTTTCATCCACTCAGCATTATCATCGTCTTCGTTGGGGTCGTATAGTAAATCATCGTCAGTTTGTTCGCTGGATTTTTGAGTCTTTTTAGGTTTATCTGCAATAAGTTAGGGACCAGGTTACCAACTAATGAAAAAGTTCATTCTAAGAGTTCATTTGGATAGGCATCGTTGTCGATAATATCGAATATGTTACGACGAAATGTGTTATCCAGGATCTTGAAGCAATATTTCCTCTGTACCTTTCTCAAATGTTATTTTGTTATGCAACGACAGGCTACAATTGAGAAGTCGTCGCGAAATCTTCTGGTACCATTAAATTCTGTCCTCCAGCATCGTTACTTGAGCATTTTGCTTGCGTTACCGGCCGGGTACTTAGTAAATCCCTCAACGCCCCATTGCAACACTACTCTGGAATAGTCAAGACAGCTCAAGGCCTTGGCTTTTGCGCCAGTTATCGATAACAATAGCTAACTTATAGGCTCTCCAGTTCGCCCATTACCCTTCTGAGCCTCAAAACCTCCTAGCCTATCCTTGAAAGTCGCAAAATGGATGAGGCAGCAGCTTCATCCGTGCAGGATACCTATGCAAGAATATTGCGATGACCAACTTGATGATTTAAAATACACTCTTGATGAACGAGGTTCTCCGCACGGATACAGATAAAAAATGATCTGATAAACTGACCAGCATTCTTCGCGCGGCTGACTGAAGATAGTTCCAAAACATCGGACTGAAGTTCTTTTTTCATCAAATCTTCAAAGGTATCCGCTTCTTCAGAGGAAGAGCCATGCTTAGGTGATGAGGCTCTACACCTAGATAAACCGCTATGAAACTAACCCACTTGAAGAAGACTCCTCTTCATGTCCGTCATAACGGCAGGAAAACATCTTGGATGATTTTGCCGCCAAAACGGCCTAAAAAGTACTTAATTAGCAACAAAAAGGACATTGGGTGACGCGTATGGTGTGGTCGAAAAGAGAATAAAATTTGCCGGGTAATTTTTGCCGAAATACCTCCAGTTTAACTCCAAGTTCTTATTCATTTGTTCTCAACATAGAAGGCGATAAAAGTGGAAGAAGCGTACTTTGCCAACTACAACATTTCTAGGGGCGTGTTATATACTTAAAAGGGAGCGTGGAAAGACGGATGTCCTGGTTACCGATTTTTTGGAACTTAGAGATACAATCTTTTCGAATTTAAAATGGGGATATGTAATTTACTGCCAAATGGATAAAAGAAATAATGCTTTCTACCTGTTTCTTTATGTGCATGACTTTGTTGAGGCACCGAAAAGCAATAGAAAATCCATACTTCTTAAGTTGTCATTTTTAGCAAGTGTACTCTTTAAGTGTAGCCGGAGTGAGGCGCACTCAAACGATGGCATCCCAGAGTCACTGAAATATTTGCTAGATAATGCTCAATATTACAACCCCAATAAGCATTGCCTTCTAACTGAAAACAAATACCGGAATTTCGGTTACTCTTTTACTAGATGCGTCACCCTCACGTGTTTCATAGTCAGTCAGTAGGAATATTCACATCAGTTATTCAATATTCAATTTGTTTAAATTACGAACCATGTAGAATTTGTTTCTAAGAGTATACTGACCTCTTTCTTGGCTTCATTAAACTGCATGGCTATCCGTTAAGCC